AAAAAATCGCAATTTCTGAACTTCCTAGAGCATTGCATTAGACGTCAAAAATCGCAGAAGTCGGGGTACTTCGCCCGTTCGCGGACACGTGTAAAGCAGCAAAAATGAAAAATGAGACGAATTGGCACGGCATTTCTTTCACGGTCTAAAATATTTTGTGACTTTTTTTCTAGGTAGCATGGGTTATCTGGCCGGATAATCTGGTCGGCTTATCTGGCCGGATGATGGGGGGGTAGGATCATCCGGAAATCCAGATGATTAAAAAAAAAAAAAAAAAAAAAAAAAAAAAAAAAAAAAAAAAAAGTGCTATTGCGCATGCAAAATACAATAGAACTACGTTCCTATTACATGAAAAGCTTGATAGGACCTGGAAGGGTTCAAAGGGGGGATAAGATAGGGAATAAAGGGGTTTAGGGGGGGGATGCTTAATTCATTCTATAATTTTTTATCTAAATATTATTTTCTTGTTCTGTTTTATTTTCTATCTTCAAATCTGTTGAGTAATCAAAGATGGCCTCAAGCCAAAACTTGTTCATATCATTGATATGAACAACATTTTTTTTTTTCAGTTTTTTTTTTTTTTTTTGGTGATTTTTTTCTTTTTTGCGCAGGGCCGAATTTTCCATATCCGGGTTTAATCCGGAAATTTCATCCGGATTGGAATTTCCGGATAAAATTGGTATGCCAGATATCCGGATTTACTACTTCACTTTTTTTTAAATAATTTTCATGGTAAGACAACGACCAAATCCACAGGCCTTGCAATTTGCAGCATTGTTCTATCATCCTTTTGCACGCAAAAAATCACAAAAGTCTGGGTGCTTTTCCCGTTCGCCCACACGCGGTGACAAAATTGAAAAGTGCCACACAACTCGCAGCTTTTACTTCGTGGTCTAAGCTTTGTTTTTTCCTTTTTTTCAATATTTTTCTTGGAAAGATCACAATCTAATCTACAAGATCACAATTTTCCAGACTTTTTTCTTTAATTTTTACGAGCGCGAAAAACCGTCAAAGTTGGGGCTTGAAAATCCTTTGGGCCAGGCCCACCTGCGCCTGCCGGTCGCCGCCCCCCCTAAGAACCCGGTCCGTAAGGCCATGAAAGTGAATTCAGGCCAGTGGGGGTAGTGGTGGTTTAATGGGAAGAGGCTTGGGTTGTGTTTTGGGAGGAGGCATGGTTTGTGTTTGTAACTTTGTATCAGATGTATCTGATTTGAAGTATCTGAGGCTTGTGCACTGCGTCACCTTCAAAAGAAGAAGAATAAAAAAAAGAAAAGGCGAAGATCAAATAGTCGTATTCGACTGTCAAGCTTACTATAACCTCACTCCCCTTGAAAATGGACATGCTTTCCCTGGATGCAGCATGGTGGTCAGGTGTTCAAATCCGTATCTTGGGAGTTCGACCCGTGTTTCCACTGCTGAAAAAAGACAAGCGGCCGTGCCGTAGGGGAAAGGAGTCGAAACTCAATCAGGGCAGGATTAGTTTTCGCTCACCACCCGGACATGAATAATACAGATGATGGTAACACTTGTTGACCAGACATGAAGAATACCAGTGGTAACCAGACGGTTACCCTAGTTAACCGGGCATGAAAAATACCACTGGTAACCGCATGGTTACACTGGTTGAGTTGACCGGACATGAAGAATACCAGTGGTAACCAGACAGTTACCCTAGTTAACCGGGCATGAAGAATACCACTGGTAACCGCACGGTTACACTGGTTGACCGGACATGAAGAATACCCGTGGTAAGCGGACACTTACACTGGTCGACCAGACATCATCAAACCACCGGAGATGAGACCGGATGAAGAATACCAGCGGTAACCAGACGGTTACATTCACTGACAGGGCATGAAGAATACCAGTCGTAACCGCAGGGTTACACTGGTCGACCGGACATGATGAGTACCGAGTGGTAACCGGATGGTTACCACCGGTTCCCCAACCCACTGGAGATGAACAGCAGCAGTGACTGGAAGGTTACACCGGTCCAAACCTCAACACCGGAACCAGGGCACAGATTTCCCTCCAGATTGCATTGCCAAAGCTCTGGCTGAAGAGTTTTGCAGACCAATTCTTTATAGGAACGTCGTCTCCGACTTTTCGAGGGAAGGGCCCTTTAAGGAGTCGACACCGAACCTGCTGAGCTCACATGCTAGAGACGCAGTATGCCAAATGTTGCAGCTACCATCTTCAGCTGAATAGAACGCCCAGTCATTGTCGTCGAATTTGCAGCACTTTTCAGTCCAGATACAGCTTTAATAACCCCGGATACAGCTATAACGACCGGGCATTCTATTCGGGTGAAGACAGTAGGGCTACTGGATTAGATTCTGCTTTCACACAAGGAGAAAACAGTAATAGAAGTTAATCCAACGGCCTGGCTCAGTTGGTTAGGCACACAAGTGGCATTCAAGATGTCGTCGGTTCAAGCCCCATGACCGCCTGAGGTGCATTTAAGGCCAACCAACTGTGATACTCTGCTTGACACCCCTGATCGGTATTAGCAGGGTCTATGACCAACACGGGTGTGAGTGTGAGCATGAGTGCGTTATGTGTGGTGTGTGGGAGAGTGTTGGCCATAGCCACTGCTGCTACTCGATGGGGAGTGGGGAAAGTAGATGGGGGCGCAGCTAGTGGCAAAATACTTCGTCTTTGCGTTAGCCAACACCCCCCACCAGCGGCCCTACCCTACGCCCTGACCACCGGCGATTTGGGCCGCGGGGGGCAACATGCATCCCCTTGATTGTGAGAGATAGCTACGCTTGCAGGGGTCCCCTGTATAGGCTTATGAGTAGTGGTAGGTAGATAGTGAACGGCGAAATTGAGAGAAGAATATAGCACAGTTATAAAAAAAAAACAAATAGGCTTATGAGTAGTGGTAGGTAGATAGTGAACGGCGAAATTGAGAGAAGAATATAGCACAGTTATAAAAAAAAAAACAAAGTATCAGAAGCTATTGTTCACCATTGTCCGAATTCCAACTCCACAAAATCAGTTCAAGGCTATAAGTCAGCTGCTTGGAATCTATTGTCCTTCTATCACCAGCAAGCACCTACGCTAGGCTTTGAAATGCTCATTCAGAGCACTGGGGGGAAAAACGCATAGCCAAGGAAACTGTCACCGACCCAACGAGGCCGTACTTTCTCAAACACGTCCTGGAATCACCTGCAATGCAGCATACAACTTACTTTCTCCTGAGCCATCTTATTGATTTGGGCGGCTCATTGGTTCATGAACATCTTTCGCAATTGTTGAGTGAAAATGTTAAGCTCGTACGCTGTTCAACAGGACCACTTACCCGGCCAGGCCGTATATGCGGTTCTTAACTTTATTTTTTATTTTGAATTTAGCACAGAATTTCGATGTTGCCCTGAGGCAAAAGCTCTTCAGGTTGTTTTTCTGCATAACATTGTATTTTCCCCTCTTTTTGCTGGGACTTCCATTGGCCCTTGCACGGCCGGGCCGTTTGGGCAAACAAGGCTCTTCAGGTTGTTTTTCTGCATAACATTGTGATTTTTTTCCCCTCTTTTTGCTGGGACTTTCGTTGGCCCTTGCACGGCCGGGGCGTCTGGGCAAACAAGGTGACCCAGGCTGCCCGACCGCTAGCCCAGCTCAAAATTGCAAATTGTTTACACTCCACCCAGAGTACTTAAACTGACTTAAATTATTCCAATCACCACATGTACCGTACTGCATTTCCTTTCAACTTGGATCTACTTTCGTGAGAGAGGTTAGCCACCACTAGCCTTCTATATGTACCGAATCTATCAATCTGATTGTGGCAGGCTTCGAACTCGTGATCTTTTTCATAGCATTCATACCCAGGCCACTTGGCTGAACGATTCACATCATGAGTTCGAAGCCTGACAATCAGATCAATAGATATGGTACATATAGAAGACTAGGAGCTACCCCCTTAAAAAAAAAAAAAAAAAAAAAAAAAAAAGAGAAAAAAGGTGGGTGTGGGTGTGCACGATTCGCACACATAACTGCCGATGAACAGATCATGAGTTCGAAGCCTGACAGAATCAGATCGATAGAGTCAGTACATTTTGAAGGCTAGGGGCTACCCCCTTCAAGAAAAAAAAAAAAACGAGAACAATGGAGGGCGTGGCTGAACTATACTGCTGGGAACAGATCATGAGTTCAAAGCCTCAAAGAGTGACAGAATCAGATCGATAAATTCCGCACATGTATTATGAGACTACCGTCTTCCCCCGAACACAACACCCTTATTTTGGCTGTATCTGGCCGGAAATATAGCTTGTAGACATTCATTTTTAGGGGTGCGTTATGTTCGGGGGAAGACGGTAGGGGCTACCCTTTTTCAAAGAACAAAAGAGGAAAAAAGAAGAGACAACCCTGGCAAGCCTGGCTGGCTATTCACAGCACACTTGCCAGATACGCCAAGATTTTCGATGACAGCGCAGCTGTCCGGTACATAGTAGGCCGAAGATAGGTCCAAATGCTTCGATACAATCGACCACCAAATATTGAAGAGTCTTCTGCATAAGAAGATTCAAGATGACTGATTCTTGACTCTATTGCGAAGGAGCTTTATTATGCTAATGACCTCAAAAAAAAATTAAAAAGTTGGAAAAAAAAACACAAAGGCATTCATTATTATCTTCCGCTTATGGTAAAAACGAAGGATCACAGAGAGTACTCACACACTACCATCTTCCACCCGAATACAACACACCCTGATAATGAATGTATACAACCTATCTTTGTGGTCCGGTTCAGCCTTTATGAGCATACATTGTACTAAGGGAAAGACGGTAAGAATTCCCTGGATGTATCTGACCACAATTCCAAAACATCCTGAATGCATCTGACAGCAATCACATCAAGCAATCACTCAAAAAACGTCCTACATGCCAAGTACGATCTTTTGCTCGAGCTATCCGTCAGTAAGAGAAACGACTGAATTGCAACAACAAACACGCACACATTCATCTCTAGCGAGTCCACAAGAGACATCCAATGAACCTGGTACAATTTTTAAATCCATTACATAATGATGTGTGCTGCTGGGCTTTTTTAACCATCATCAAATCTTTAAAAGAAGAGAAGAAACACAAGAAGAAGAAGAAGACTCATGAAGTAGCCAAGAAAACAAAAAGTACTGCCCACCTCTCATCCGATATGATATCCATATGTGGATAAGACAGTGGATAAGGTAGTGGATAAGGTGGGTTACATATCCTTCGTTTCTCCTTTACCCACCCATGTATGGCTGCACCTTATCGATGCAACGTAAGAACGAATCCGGTGATAAAATCAGCCAGGTTCGTGCTGAAAAAAAATTCCCTTCACCACTGATATCCATGGCAACATCTTATCCATCCATCCATTCACCCCATGTATGGCAGCCCCCTTATCCACTCGTCTTAATCCATTTGTGGATAAGCTTAAGCTCCTTATCCTTCGTTTTGCCTTGAATCCACCCATCTATTTATCTATCCACCCAGGTATGGCAGCACCTTAACCATGAATCTGGTCATGTATGGCAGCATCTTAGCCACGTAAGCATGAATCTGGTCATACGATCAGCCAGGTTCGTGCTGGGGGAAAAAAAAAAAAAAAAAAAAAAAAGCTTATCCACCCATGCATGGCAGCACCATACCCACTAGTCTGTGCATCCCGCCAACCCATTGAAAATCAACACTAGCCACATTATATAGGCCAACCTGAAATCACCTAGGGCTAGCCCCCCTCCCCCCCTCCCAAAAAAAAACTCCAGGTTGTTCTAGAGGTCTTCGCCAGAGCAAATTTCAATTAAACTTACTTAACCAGTGGCAGTTTTCGACCAGATCAGTCCAACCACCACTCCCCATTAACCACTGACCGATTAGGGGGGTTATCAAGCGGAACATCACACAGTTCGTCAGCACTAAGTGCACGAACCCACAACCTCCTGAATGACACTTGGGTGCCTAACTAACTGCGCTAAGCCGCTGGATGGCCATTACCTGACCGACGGATGCGCATCTCTCGGGCACTCTGTACAAACACTAGCCCACTGTGTCCATGGATCAACACATCTCGTCCCTCCGTTACTTCAATTCTTCTTCTTTTAGCTCTGCACATAAATACAACCATCAGCACACAAACGTGGTCTCTACGTTACGTCAATTCTTCTTCTTTCAGCTCTGCACATAAATACAACCATCAGCACACAAACGTGGTCTCTACGTTACGTCAATTCTTCTTCTTTGAGCTCTGCACATAAATACAACCATCAGCACACAAACGTGGAGGTGGAGAAGGAGGTGGAGGTGGAGGTGGAGGTGGAGGGAGAAGAACAAAGGTGAAGTTGCCAGATGTAAGAGAAGGAAGGTAAGCTCTCAACCAAACACAAAGGTGAAGGTGAACTCCGGTCAAAGAAGATAGAAGAAGAGATTAGGTCAAAGAAGATGGAAGAAGAGATAAGGTCAGACAAGAGAACATCACTCACAGTGGTGCTATGGGCAAAATAACTAGGCTGCCGGTAGTTGGCTCGCGCGGGCGTGCAGGATGGACGTGCAACCCGGGGAAAGTTGCCCGGGGGGGGTTATCTGCGCGGGGTAACCCCGTGCAGGCAAAAATTAACCCTTCTTTTTGGGAGGCCATCTCCCATACGAAAGGTCAGACACGTATCACCTGCTGCTGGCCACACACACATGAACAAAAACACATCTGTGCAGAGAAGAGTGTGTCCCTTTCCCGAAAAATGTTCGTACGCTCTCCTCTCTTCTTTTTCTTTCACCATTCATCCACCTTCTCTCCTTCTCAGTGCTGCATGCGGTTGTGTATTGATCCCGTTTGGAAGCATGCACGAAAAAGACACAGGTATCCACCACCGTTCGTCACTGGTCTCTCCTATCCTTACCTCTTCATCACCATCATCACCATCATCATCATCATCAATTATCACAATCATTATCAATCATCGTCATCATCAGTCATCATTATCAATCGACATCATCGTCAATCATCATCATCATCATCATCAATTATCAATGTCATCATCATCAATAATCATTACCAATAATCATTACCAATCATCATTATCAATCATGATCATCAACCATCATTACCAATCACATTATCAATCATGATCATCAATCACCATTATCAATCACCATCATCACCAATCATCATTACAAACTAGATGAGGAGTTGCGGCTTCGCTCACAAAGCGAAATAGGAAGAGAGTGAAGGGGGGAAGGGGGGAAGGGGGGGAGAGGGTTAGGTGTAGGTTCACCTGTCCATCACCTCATTTGTGTGGGGATCATCATCATCATCATCATCATCAACAACATCATCATCATCATCATCATCATCATCATCATCAATAGAGCAATAACGTTGCATACAACTACTCCTCTTTCCTCCTTACTTGAGTATTCTCCAACCACCTTCTTGTTCTTCCTCTTCTCATCCTCTTTCCCTTCCGCGTCATGGCACTAATGATCTGTCCATCACCACAAACTCCGAGTCCAGCCTGGACCGATCTCCATGGGCGTGTGTACTTAAGACGAGAAGCTCAGTGATTCCAACCTTCCCTACTCTGCTAATATTATTATAATTATATAAAAGCAGCAATGAGAAAGCAGATAGAAAGCGAGACATCCTGCACCCCGAACGTGTTCGACTGATTGATTCATTAATCGACTGATCGATCGATTGGCTGATTGGTCGATTAATTTATCGATTCATTAATTGACCGATTTGATTGATTGATTGGTGGGAGAGAACCTGAACACCCCGTCCAAACCCGTAAAAAGAACTTAGACAAAATTAGTTGTGGGCCAACGACATCACGCCTTGTCGTCACACACCGCAACTACAGCTGCCCTTAGCTGATCAGGTAGAAGACAATGTGATTTGCGATTAGCCAAGTCCGCAATCCGCTCGAGCCAAATGAGCACCAGCGTTAATGACTCGTAATTAGGAGCACAACTGCGGCGCGACGCGTGGAGTTCGTCATCTGTACGGTAAAGACCCGAAAAACATGCCCCGTTTTCTGGATACCACAAACTACATGCCTCTCTCTCTCTCTCTCTCTCTCTCTCTCTCTCTCTCTGCGTGTCAGTGTGCGTGTGCCCTCCCTTACGCCTCCCTGTCCCCTTCCCCCCCGCTGTGTGCCCTCTCTTCCGCCTCCCTGTCCCTTCCCCCCCAACCGGGTTGAAATAGAGACCTTGACTTAAGGCAAGCTTCTCTCTCTCTCTCTCTGTCTCTCCCTCTCTCTCGACCTTGACTTAAGGCAAGCTTGCCTTTCTCTCTCTCTCTCTCTCTCTAGAGACCTTGACTTAAGCAAGCTTCCCTCTCTCTCTCTCTCTCTGTCTGTGTGTGTGTGTGTGTGTGTGTGCGCGTGTGCCCTCCCTCATACCTCCGTCCCTCCTCCCCCACCGGGTTGGAATAGAGACCTTGAATAAAGGAAGGTTCGATGAAACTGTTTACGTAATCACGACCATCGCATGACCGCCCTCAGAATTGCATCGCACACGATTCCACGTCATCGCCGAATCGCATAGCGCATAGCGTGTAATCCCGCCCCCGCATCCAACAGAACGCATGAGAGACGGAATTCCAGAAATGTTGAAATAGGATATTTTCAATATCCTAACGATCCGATTAGATGATCCTGACTCTTGTGTTTGAGAGTACATGTTTTCTTCTTTTATTTTCTTTGCAGGCCAGAATACACCGTTAGTCACCGCACGAGCGACCACTCTCGTCGCACGGGATGTACCATAGGCCTCGCTCCAGTTCTCTCCAAATGTGCAAAATGAGAATGAATCTTCCGCTAGAACATGGAAAGATACACCGAAATAGTTTTTGCCTTTTGTGCATGTGGAGAGCAGTGGAGCGAGGCCCTTTGCCTGCGGATGAAAAATACTGCAGCGCTCTTCATAATCGCTGAAAATCACTGAAAATCCGTTGACAATCGTTGAAAATCGTTGAAAACTGTTGAAAATCATTGAACATCGCTGAAAATCTGTCGAAAAATAATTGAAAAATCATTGAAAATCTGTCGAAAAATAATTGAAAAATCATTGAAAATCTGTCGAAGAACGTTGAAAACTGTTGAAAATCATCGCCCATTACGATGTATATTGCAGCCTTTCGTGTGAAGATGCACTCGTCATTTTCACGTGTTGTCAATCGGGCGCGGCCTATAGGTGGCCATCTACGAGATGGTCGTCGTCACTTCCCCTTCCAAAAACAGAAAGAGAGAGAGGGAAAAAAAACAGAGAGAGAAAAAGAACAGAAACAGAAAGAAAGAGAGAAAAGAAAAAGAAAAAAAAAGGAAAAAGAAAGAGAAAAGGAAAAAAAAAAGAAAAAGAAAGAGAAAAGGAAAAAAAACGAAAGAGAAAAAGGAAAAACAAAGAAAAAGAAAAGAGGGGGGAAAACGAAAAACAGAGGGGTGGGGTGGGGGGGGAAGAAACAGAAAGAGGGAAAGACACAGAAATAGACGAGAGAGAGAAACAGATAGGGGAAAAGCCAGAAAGAAAGGGGGGGGAAAAACAGGGAAAGAAATAAAGGGAAAAAGACAAAAAAAAAAAAGACAAAGACACAGAAATAGAGGAGAGAGAGAAACAGAAACAGAAACAGAAACAGAAACAGAAACAGAAGAGAAACAGAAGCACAGAAATTAAACATGCAAAATGACGAATGTATCTTCAGCTAGAAAATGAACAGATGCACTCGCCATTTTATTTTCGAGTTAATGTATATTCAGCTAGAACATGAACAGATGCACTCGCCACTTTATTTTCGCCTTAATGTATCTTCAGCTAGAACATGAACAGATGGACTCGCCGTTTTATTTTCGGCTTTCTCACATATCGCGAGTGGGGACGAGGCACGATGAGTGAGGGTGAAAGGGAAAAGCGAAAAGCGGGCGCCACTAAGAGCATACTCGCACCAAGATTTTCAGAAACTGAATTTGGACGACAGTACTGACCAGGTACATTCAGGAAGGAAAGTACTCGTGTGAGAATTGCTGACCAGATACATTCAGGAAAGTACATGTGTGAGTATGCCCTCAGAGACCGAGAAAGAAAGCAAAGGCGATGGCGAAACGCGAGACAGCAACGATAGACATCATTGAGAGAGAGAGAGAAACAGGGACGGAATGAAAAAGAGAGAGAAAATGGGGGAGCGAGGTCCAGAGAGAGAGAGAGAGAGGGTGTGTGAGATATACATGTGTGTGCGGAGCGAGAGAGACATATGTGATGATGTGTCTGTGCGTGTTATCAAGTGCGCTATACACACCTCCACGAAAAACGAATTGGGCCTCGCCGCGCGGCACACTCAACGAAAAAAATACGGAAAGCGCATCTTCCCACAGAAGACGGTAACATACATCCGTTACTCAGAATAGAAATAAATGTACTTCACATCCTTCAGTGGGAGGGTGCTTTTTTTTTGTTTGTTTGTTTCGTGTGCCCCGCGGCGAGGTCCTCTGAGACGATGTTGTGTGTATGTGCGTGTGTGTGTGTGCGTGTGTGTGTGTGTGTGTGTGTGTGTGTGTGTGTGTGTGTGTGTGTGAGAGAGAGAGAGAGAGACAGAGAGACAGAGAGACAGAGAGAGACAGAGTATGCGTACGTGATGAGGTGTGGCCGAGAGAGAGAGAGAGAGCGGCACACAATGTATGTCTGTGATGATGACCATGATGTGTCTTTTGGGTGAGCATACTGTGCGTTTGTGTGTGGGCACGAGAGAGAGAGAGAGAGAGGGCCTCGCCGCACCCCTCACCCAGTGCACAAAAGACAAATTGTGGTGGGCGTATAAATCCAAGTTGTAGGGGACAATTCATTCTCATTTTGAGCATTTGGAGGGTGGTGCGGCGAGGCCCAGAGAGACAGAGAGAGAGAGAGAGTGGATGTGATCATGGCATTGATGAGTCTGTCTATGTATATAGCACGTTTATGGGCCTCGCTCCTCTACTCTCGACATGCACAAACGACAAAAAATATAGCAATGTATCTTTCCATGTTCTAGGGGAGGATTCAGTCTCATTTTGCACATTCGGAGAGTAGTGGAGCGAGGCCCTATGTGTGTGCATTTGTGTAAGTGCATTTGTGCGTGTGTGTGTGAGAGAGAGAGAGGGAGAGAGAGACGGGTAGGCAGACAATGTGTGCACGTGATGATGACGATGATGCCTCTGTGTGTGTTTTGTCCTTTCGCGTGTATATGTGTGTGTCTGTGTGTGCGTGTGTGTGTGTGTGAGAGAGAGAGAGAGAGAAGATGGCACTCTGTGTGTGTGTGTGTGTGTGCGTGTGTGAAGAGAGAGAGAGAGAGAGAGAGAGAGACAGACAGAGAAAGAGAAGATGGCACCCACCTGATTGGCCCTGACTCCCATCCTCCCACGTGGCAATTCGGTAATGAACCTTCTCTCGCGCGAGAGCCTCCGTGCGCATAGGTTCCTTGAGACATTTCCTCACCATAGCCGCGCAGGTATTGGCGTACTTCACGTACGTCATCCCTGCTGAGCGCCAATAGGTGGCGGCCGCCACCACAGACGACGCCGACATCGCGACACGTGTTTTCTCCCCTCGCTATCGGCACCGCTACGCCAGGTTTGCCAGAATACGAACACCAGCCACAGACCTGAGAAGATGAACCGGAAGACCCGCACGCCTCCGCCGAACCACACGCCTCCGCCGGTGCTATGTCAATATCAATCCCGCACCTCGCGAAGTTATCCGGCGCGCTCGTGCGTGGAAACCACAGGAAACCCGCGCTCGTGCGTGTGCCCACGGCCGGTGAAAATCGGGCAATCGGGCAATCGGGCGGGAGAAGCAAGAGAAAAACCGTGGGCATCGCCGCACTACCACAACACCTGTAGAGCCGGAGAATGTATATTACAGTAAAAGGTGAAGTTGAAAACACTGAATCGAGGGCGCCCCTGGGGCTAGGTCCCACTTACACGAATCAAGCGCTACTGACCGCGGATAGCGAAGATCAACGGCCAGAATCTCTTACTCCGGGCAAGTGGGACCTTGCCCCAGGACTTCGTTTGTGGTTCCACTACAGCCTATTGACTTACCGTGAGGGCATGTGTGTGGAGCCCGCGGTCAACCACTAATATCAGTATAAACAATAAAGCCTCTGGCAAATCTGAGAAATGGCTCAATTGGTTAGGCATGCAGGTGGCATTCAGGAGGTCCTTGGCTCAACCCCCTCGCACCTGTGGCATGGTCGATGCCAACCAACTGAGGTAGTCACCTGTATCCTCCCAGTCGGTATTAGTAAGGTCTTCAGCCAACACGGGTATGAGTGCGAATGCGAGTGGGTTGTGTGTGGTGTGTGGGAGAGTGTTGGCTTTAGACACTACTGTTATCTGATGGGGGTCACAGTTGCTGGCAAATGCTCGGTCCTTGTGTTAGCCGGGCCCCCACTGGTGGCCCCAACCCCACACCCTAAACATTAGGGCAAAGGGGCAAGCATGTCGTTACCTCCCTCCACCGAGAGAGGTAAACTCCCTTCACCGAGGAGAGGTAGAAAGCTATGCGTGCAGGGTTCCCATGTATAGCCTTAGAAGTAGTAGTAGGTCATGAAAGGAAACTGATATGTTTTATGAGTCTGCGTAATATTTGAACGAGTGGTAAGATACTCTAGTCCAAGTCATCTTATTTCATGTTTAAAGATTAGTTTGTGCAATGTTATAAAGGTAGTGGGAGACTCCAATGAGGGTCATCCTATTACTTGTTTGGAGTTAGATTGTGTGATACTCAAAAGGTAGTAGGGGACTCCAGTAAGAGACATGATATTACTAACTTGTATTCGATTCTAACTTATGTGGAAATGTAATATGATGTGATTTGTCTATTGGACGCTAAGAAAATAATAGGACGCTCATGTATGAGTTATCCTACTGTATGTTTAATGTTGAAGGGTGGTGGGGTACTACAGACTTTTACTACTCGTCTTCATTATATATTTACCATTTTGTCTGTCATGTTGGTGCATATGCATGTTGAATGACGTTGAAAGGGTAGTTAGATACTCTAGTGTGGGTCATCTGACTACTTGAGTGGACATGGATTGTCTGGTATTGAACAAGTTGTAGAAGACTAAAATTCGAGTCAATCTACTACTTGCGTATGCTCGAACTAAAAGGTATCGAGAGAAGAGAAGAGAGATACTCCAGTGTAGATTTCATATTGCTTGTCTGAGTATAGGATAATCAAAGCGGAAGGACAAAGACTCCAGTGTGAGTCATCATACTACTCGATTCAATTTATATTGACTCGTAAATAGTAGGGTGAAGTGAGGGTCTTCATACTGCTTACGTACTTTAAGATTGATTAGACTATGAAACTCCTTGAAGTATTTAAATTTGATAACTATTTTTCAAAGATCCGACCAGATAGGGAATCTAAAAGGCTACTTCTTTAGAGAAAAAATGGTCTCCATTATATTTGAAGTTCGGATTACTGAACTTCAGAATGAGGTCATATCGATAGCAAAGGGGTGTTGAGCCCGTGTTGACTTGTGTACAATTGCAAATCATCTCAAGTAATAAATTATTCAAAGAGTATTTATTATGAATATGTACAATACTATATGTTATTGCTCTATGGTAACAGGTTAGTTTAACGACTCAACTCTCGCTTACCTTCAACACCCACACTTTGCATCGACCTCGGCAATAAAAAAACATTTCATAATTTTGGGTCAATTTCCAAAAGGTTTGTGTTTGGTAAAAAATACTCCTCAAACGACTAAATGCATATAAGACTGAATAACTAAGTCAAAAAAATGGTGTCTAGTTGATAGGTTTGTAAGTGTAAGTGCAATGTGGGTGAAAGTGAACAAATGGTTGATTTCGTTATAATTGTGAAATTTGTTTGATTTTTATCTATAGGTGCGTAAAACGATCATCCATGCGCTTTTCACAACGCTACTCTTTCTATATGTTAAATAGATTAGGATTGTTGGCAAGACCAAGCGCCTTATATATTTAAATTTTTATTGAAATTTCATAAGTCTATCTTGATTTGTGATGCATAATTGAAAGGTTGAGAACCTTCAGCGGTTTTCTTCAAAAAAGTCAAAGATTTATATATTTTTATTTCGTATCTGCTTCTGTAAAAAATATAAAGATATTTTGTCACATTTAAGTCTCAATTCATTAAAGTCTCTTCATTATACATGCATTGATTTGAAAAAAGTTTGTTTGATACTAAGAATAAGTTATGGGTTGAGGAAAATAGGTTAAAATGATGTATGAGCGAAAGTTCATTAGTCAAGTCGACCTGAATTATAAATTGATCCGGGAGATTAACACTCCCAATTCCCGACACGTGTGCGGGTCAGTCTTAGGCGTTTAACTGCTCGTATGTCTATGCTACGATGATCGAGCAAACGCTCTCGGCTGACTCCCTTTTGCGATTGCAAGTAAAGGCCTTCTCACGTGAGTCGGTAGCTCAACAGGGATACGCCTACCTAAGGTTGGTGACAACCCCTCAGGTAGAGGTGAGTTGTACCGCGCGGAGTTTTGTGCTGTTGGAGGGAGCCGTGAGAGATATAGTTGGCACGCACAGTCGGAGTGGTATCTCCACTGAGTCAATGCAATGAGCTTACTCCCGCGAGACACAATTGTGAGGTATGACACTCGTTGCAGGCCATGGAACCGCCGTGCCAGACAACGGTTAAAAGAAAAGTATGTTTTTAAAGGCAAGGCTAGTAACTGGAGTGAAGTCTTAACAAGGTAGTTTTACTAGAAAGTGCGGTCGGATCACCTCCTTTTAAGAGGGAATCAATTACTACTATGGTAAGGTAGTGATTGTTGTGTTTATGTTTCGTCATATTTGAGCTACACAATTCCAATAGTGTATGTTGGGGGGTCCCAACGGTGCTTTATTATCGATGTTCATGGTCTATTGACCCCATTTTCATCAAGTGTCGCTCCCCACAATTAGACAGGAGCATTGTGTCACAAATTCACTCTAGGGAGATGCTCATATCACCTCCTCTAGTGGGTTGAAGTGAAACTTTTTAGAGAAAAAAAAAAAAAGAATGTTTGTGTGTGCTCGTTGTCGAGCACATCGACTTCCGCCTTTTTCGCAAAAGGCGAGAGTCCTCCCGACCACGTCAAGCACAAGTAAAAACAAAACAAAACCAGAAACAACAATATAATATAACCCCGCGAACCGCTACGATGAACGTGGTCGCGCTGTCACCTCGTCGCTCTAATCGGGTGCGTCAATTTTACTTTCCGTGATCCCCTACAATATGATACGTTTCCGTGTGGCACAATTTGCCTTCCCTAAAGGGTTGTCACCACCTTTAAGGGTGTATCCCTACCGAGTTACCGACCCACGAGAGAAAATTTTTACATTCAATTGCATAGATATGCTAGTTGAGGACGTTTGCTCGTTTCACTGCAATATAGGCACGTGTGGTTAAAACGTCGTTTGAACCATACCTCGTATGTCCCCTAGAGGGTTGATCTCCTAAGTACGAAGTAAACGCTGGTCAACAAGGACGGTCTTAACCAAGGATGAAACCTACAACTCAATCCTAGTCTCGTGACCATATAACTCGAAAATAAAGTTGTAATAACCCACAAGCGGTTAACAGGGACCCCCACTTTTCAGCCCTAGGTAACGATGAATGATCCTGAATGATCATGAATTTAGGGTTTTTTTGTGTTTTTTTGAATTTTGTTTTTTGCCTTTTTTTTATTTGGACAAGCTTTTTGTGTGTCAAATTTGATGTCATTTGGAGTATTAGAATTTGTGTTGTGAAGAGTGGTGAAAATTGTGAAAATTTGATGACGTTTTTCTTGCCAAAAATAGGGGCTCGGTTAACCTTTTCTCCATAAGTGAAAGCGATAAATAAAAAAATCCGAGTACCACATGGTGGAACCAGTAACGCAAGATCGAAATAAAAATCTGACCCCCTCGGATCGAACTCGATAAAACAAAATCATATTGAGTCGCCAACAAGGAGTTGGCTTCTACAACAACCTTGATGCAGCCGATAAGGTAGTCAGATTGCCTTAGTTTTAACTTGATGAGACGTGTTGCCAAAGACATTCATTCCACCCTACCGCCGGCCTAAGATTAGGCACGCACACACCCGTCTCCCTACATTTTTGTTTTTTTTTAATAACAAACTGTTTTGCGGATGATTTTTAATTAGATGCATTACTTGAAATGTTGAACGTTTGAGAATAATTTTAACGTCTGACAATTCCCGTGCGGCATCACAATGCTTCACCAAAGGTGGGATAATAATTTTTTATCCCCTTTACCAACTTCTGTGCGCACTTCATTTTCTACACGCTCGGTTACCCCATAATGCCTAAGGATAATAATACCATCATTGGGGCAACCCGAATACTATCTATCTGACTAATCCTGTCTAAAATATTTTTTTTACCCCCTTTGCCAAGCCTAGTAAAATAATAAAGGGCTCGGACATACTAGGAATAATTTGAAGTGGTCCCCTAGGTAACCTTATTAGAAATGAAGTCCGCAAATATATGTTAGTCGTGGTACAACTAACGACATTTTCGGGCTTCAACCTCTATATGGCTCAGTCATGCAAGCTTCTCGTTTTTAAAAATCAAAGTAGTAAGGAGAGTCTTTCGCACAAGTCGGATTATTTGCGAGTCATTGAGGGAGACCATCCGAGAGGCCAACCTTCATACTATGGCACGAAAAGGCTGACGCATTCGAAAAAGGTGCATCGTTGTAGTGTTCATAATCTTAACACTGACAATGACTTAAGAAAGGCATCATTGGAGGTTACTCGCACGATGAAAAAACAGATAATATCCATGAAATTTATTATGAAGCCACGCCACATTGGTACAAATGTCCGCGCACGAGTTGGAAAAAAATCCTTGTCAATCTCTGAGCAAGCCTACAAATTCAATCTAATGATCAGAGTGTCGTCACGA